CCACATTATTTGTTAAAAAGTGGTTTTATTCTGGTTACTCCATGGTCCATGGCTTCAAATGTATGCATATAATGCGGTTTCATAGTTTCTAAGCTAAATTCCCATGATGTCATACTCCAATTCCGGCGAAATGCTACTTTGTATAAATGCGCGTTTCATTTCATATATTCAGATATTTTAAAATAGTGTATATTATTTTTGTCTACATATATTAATTATTAACTTACTTGTTAAAGCTCTAGTCGAGACTGCTCGACTACGAGATCCCCTGAACCCTTAAAGCTACTGATATTTCAATAATAATTCGCTCGCAAACACACACACGCACATATACAGGCAACTGCGCTTGCGCTGTGCTGCACTGTTGGCAATATTATGAGAATTTATTTGTTGAATAATTTTAGTTCTAGACATACAATCTTAATGAAACTTTCAGAACATAATGTTCCAATTTATGTAATTCCAAAGCACAAGTCTTTAGTATGTATTTGAATGAAGATGAGGGTGAGAGGGTGGATATAGGGGTGGGGGGTAAATTTTAACAAAAATCGAAATTGTACAAAATTCATCTTAATATATATTTTAGATTTGGAAACTCTAGCTTCAGAGATGTAGGAGATATAATTTTATAACTGATTTTCGATAAGGTCTTTTATCGATAAAAAATATTGGAATGATTTATCATTTTCTAGTGATAAACTGATAAATCGACTCAGCTCGTCGCCCTGATCAAGAGTATATATACTTTGTGGGGTTTGCCACGCCTCCTTCTGCCTATTGTATACACTTCAAAAAAACCAGTTTACTCTGATTTCCCATTTTTAATGGGTTCAGGGTATAAAAACTAAATGAAGAATCAAACCGCTATCAAATGTGTGTTATAGCAAAAATGATTATTGTTATCTTGCTGTAATAACCTAGAAGTAATCCCAATATATAAAATACGTATATTTTCTCTTTCTTAAGCTATATCTTTCTTTCTTTCTCAAGGTTATATGTGCAGTGACTGTTCACTTTTCAATGAATTATCAAACACCTAATCTTCTTAATTAGCAAGTTGGTTTAAAGCGTGTAACACTCGTATAGTTTCAGCACGTATATTCCCCCTTTATTATACTCATTCACGAACGTAAATTGAGTATATTTGCTTTATGGTATCCGTCTGTCCGTACGAATGCACATTATAATTATAAGGATAAAGATGTTTCTTGATCCTCACTTTGGGGGCTTAGTATTACGGAAAATGTATTTTCCGTTATCTCCGAAATCAATACAAGCACAAAAATTTATGACTGATAAATCAACACGGCTTGGGGGCGTGGAAGAACGTGTCAAACTGTAAAACTGCTAGAGTTTTAGAGTTGGAAAGCTCAAATCTGGCACGTGTATTAGTAATAAAATATTAGTATAATATTCGAATACGAAAATCTTAATGTTAGGGGCATGGCAAACTGCAAAAGCTTATTTCTACTAATAAATATATAAATAATAATTTAGTTTAAGTAATATAAATAGTAAAAATTCATTTCATTGATAATAAAATTCACCTTACGCAAATACATAGGATTCAATTAAATTACAATTTCATTCGCTTGCTTCATAGTAGTGCATCTGTCTGACCCACAGTGCAGTGGCAAATTAGTCACTTAGACAGCTGTAGAGCAACCCATAGGCCACCACAGTGTGCAGCATGGAAACAATGTCAGCGAGTGGCTGACAGTCTAATAAATGTTGTTGTGACGTAAGGTAGACAACGGATTGGGGCAGTCATGAGCGGCTTACGGTAATGTGTTCCATTTCCTTTTGCTCGGACACTTATATTTAATGTGCGGAATATCAGTAGTAGTAACTGCAATCAGTTTAAGTGAGGCGAATACCAATGAAACTGGAATAATATTCAATATGAATTGAACACTTTCATGTGTTGAAATATCAATAACGGCACGATTCAAGGCCACTCTGTGAGCGACATGCATTTATTATTTATAAAGATGTGATAAAATCAATATGCATTTCCGAGCAATCAACCCTATATTGACTAGGGCAAACGGCAATGATACATTTGCGCTTATAAGTGTGCACATTACCAAAAGCATTCAGTTTGTTCATGAGTGATAAGCATACAGCTCTGTATTCTAATAATAGACACACATAGCATAATGGTAGCTGACTGATATAGATAACTAAATAATATATATAAATATATACGTCGTATGCATGTCTGTACTTAATACAATACCACAAACCGAAACTACAGTTTTCCAGATCATCAGATCATGTTCCGTTAGCTAGTCGGAGTGGTGTGGTGCATTGTAAACTAATAAGCAAATTTTTCAATGGGGTGTGAACAGCTTCGTAATAGTCGTGTGATATGTAAAAATGCTAAATTTATAAGATAAGCTAATATTATAATACTTACTTTAGTTGACTTACATTTAACATGATTTTCCAATAATTGGAGGGCTCTAAAAATATATGGATTGTTCCGATTTGACTGAATAGCAGCAATCCAGACATTGGAAAAGCTTAACAAATCTGTTCATCTATATTTATAAAAGAGAGTTGTGAAAAGTTTTCCAGCACTTATAACTCGAGATCTGCTGGACCAATTTTCATGGTTTT